TCTCTCTCTCTCTCTCTCTCTCTCTCTCTCTCTCTCCCCAACGGGCTACAGCCCATTGCTGCTGGCAGTTGCCAGGGTAGCACACGAAGCGGATGACGAGGTCTCCATCATGTACAGGTTCAACAGGCCGTCGCAGGCCCTAGGCCTTCGGCGTTCTCTCGCCAGTGGCAGTCTCGCTATACAGCCCTGCGCACCTTGGAACTGCATCCCTGTCTTTTGGAGCTGCATGAACCCACAGTCTGGGGCGATTTTGGCCTTCCCATATTTTACACTATCAATCGTCAACTAGGCGGGGCCCTGGCAACCTTGCTACGCGCCCAGGCCTCGCCTAACGTCCAAGCCCTGAGCCCTCGCGCCCGTCAGACTGCCCTTTGCAGTATGCCATCCGACTCGGCTCCTCAGCGGCGGTTGTCTTGCTACTGGACGCACAAGCAGATATCCACTTTATGGATGAGGATGGGCGCTCTCCCTTGCGGGTCGCCGCGGCGTTGCGTAGTGCCGCGCTTGTGGCACTACTGATGGAGTACGGCGCTCTGTTTTGCATTCAGTGCTGGGCTCAGCTGCAGCCGGAGAGTCCTTAATCGTGCCCCTAGGGGGGACGCCTCAACTGCCAGGTTGATTGGGCAGCACCTGAGGTGGCCCACGACCAGCCCAAAAACTGCAAAGCCATTTTTGCATAGCATTCTTCACGACCATGTTACCGCGTTTGCGCATCGAACATACGTGTTAGCAGTGTGAATGATTCTTCCTCTGCCGCTGCCGCGACCTTGGCTCAGCATGAATTGGAAGCCGGCCGAAGGGGCGGGGGGGCCGGGGAGCGCAGGCAACTAGGGAGAGCTGCCGGCGCCTCAGTCTCGTTTCTCTCACTGCAGCTTGGTTTCTCTCTGTCACTGCTCTGCTTCACGGGCGCCTTTGTCAGGCGGGAAGGGGGGGGCCCGGCTTCCCGGGATAGCTGGTAGTCATGGCGCCGCGGCACTCCGCCAAACCTGGAGCACCGATAGGAGGGCGGATTCGCACCAAGAGAGTTAACCGTTTTGGGGACGGAACTGGACGACGATGTAGGGCCTCAGGTGCAGCCGCCCCTGAAGGCTACTCTATGCCGGGGGCGCCTTCCTCGCCCAGGAGGTCTCCTCGCAAGTGTGAGCTGGGCCACGCTCGCCGGAGTTGAGCAGTAGAAGCCATTTCCGGGTGGGTGGCGACATAATTAAAGCACAGCATAGCATGAGCAAGCTGGATCACGGGCGAAGGGGAGAGCAGTAGACTGGGGTAGCGGCCCGACGAGCTAAGCCTCGCCGAAGCTGTGGCTGTCCGCTTTGAACAGGACTCCGCCAGGCACCCAGTCGGGCCGTAACATTGCTTGGAGCAAACGATTTGCCACGTGTCATTGCGGGCCGGCGCTGTGACTCCTCAGAAGATGGGATGGATGCCTCGGCCACTTGTTGGATGTTTGGCGCTCCGGCCCCCGGGAAGTGCTCCGGGGCCACGATGCTGAAGCCTGGGGCGCCCGTAACCGTGCACAAAGGCCGGCCCGACACAGAGAGTGTCGGGAGGGAGAGTTTTTGCCATAAAAAGGCTGGGTCCGAGGCTGCACACTCGACACTTGGGCGAGCTTAATGCAAATAAGGTGGAGTTGGCACACTGCTCATGTGCGCCCCTTGCCCAGCGGAGGGCTTCCTCATGTGGGGCCAGCGCTTGACGCAAAGAGTCGTCCGGGTTGGGCGGTGACCCTTGGGGCCAGGAACGCTGGAGAGACGAAGCGCAGGCCTTCATTGAACGGGGTGGACTCGGCCCAGGCATTCAAATCCCGTTTATCTCTACCGAGTTGATGCCTCATCTCCATGAGGCAGATCAAGATTCACTCCGTTATGGCTTTCACCGCCTCCAAGATCTGTATGAGCAGCGCAATTACCAGCTGCTGTACTTATTGCGTCCATCCCACTTTCCGCCCAGCAGTACTGACATGCAGCGCCGGCCCGATGCCTGGCCACCGCCTGCGACATTGGAAAGTGCCCGGTGACGACGTGGGAAGCATCCCAACAGCCAGAGTAGCCTATGACCATCGACATACGTCGTAAGGTCCATAGATGACTCTTTCCGCCGTCGTGGATTCCTCTATGGACTTGTGGACTTTGTGCTCGATCGAGAAACAACAGGACCCCGGGGCTGACCGTTGTTCGACGGAACTAGAACGGCGGCCGGAGCTCCGACTTTGGGCTCCACCGGTGGTCTTGGACAGCTCTGGGCGACGGCCTTTGCTGTTGTGGATCGGTCGCTGAGGCCCCGTAGCTCATGCTGAACGGCCAACACCGGCAAAGCCTGTGCGCCGCAGCTAGCTTTTTGCTTTCTTTTCGAGCCGCCCTGTTTCACCGCTTTTTTTGGTTCTTGTTTGTTGGTTTGTTTCGTTTGTAGGGACCGAGAGCCGTAGTCGACGAGGCCCGCTCACGCCAAAAAAGGCTATGGCCAGCGAGTTGAACGTTTGTTCACTCCTGCCTCTCTAGAGCGGTGCAAGACGCGCTGTCCTGTTGCCCTGCAGCCCGCCTTTCCTTGTCTCACGCCCGGTGGCCGCCGAAGCCAACTTAAGACACGCCTGCTCCCCGGAGTCGGCCTGCAGCGTGAAGCGTTGCCGTTTGCCCACTCGGCAGTGTGCCTTTCAGCGAAAGCTGCCTCAGCATCAGCCTTAGTTCTGGACGAATGCAAGCCTTTTTCATTCCTTTTCTCACAAAGACGAGCCGGGGGTATTTTCATCTGTGACCGATCATGCTTTTTGCATCGGTCAGCCTTCGGTCAGCCGCCAGCATACAGATCCAACACGGTCAAAAAGAGAGCTGAAGTGCTAAAGCAGTGCAAGCCTTCCTAAAACCTTTGTCTCGAAACCAGGCTCGTAGTCGTAGTCAACGCAGAGTGGAGAGCTGGAACAGAGAGAGCTTCCACCCTGGCGCCGAAAGTCCAGCAGTTGGAGGGATTGTAGCAACCGGCACAGTCCACGTGGACAGCATCTTGCGCGCCCTGCGGCCCTGCGTCCACGTTCCAAGTTTTTTTGCAAGCACACCTCATAGGCTGATACGTTCTGGGCTGCAACGAAATCAGCTTAATTCAGACACGCTCTAGCTAGCTGGAAACATGGCACAAACGCAAAAGAAAGTGAACCTTTGTTTGTTTCATGTGAGGTACCTTCGATTTTCACGTTAAGGGCAGTTGGTGACGCACCAATTGCTGTTCCGATTGCCTGCAAATGCTTCCAACAAGGTCAAGATGACAGAAAACATGAAGGCATGCTGCACCGATGGACGAAAAGATGGCTGAATGTCAAGCTGGATGGATGGATGGATGGATGGATGGGTGGATCAATGAATGCAAACTTGGATTGATGCAATGCTTTCAAGGCAAGAAGGAAGGATGATGTCGGGAGGGAAGAAAACGAGAGGGAAGTGAACGAATGAAACAAGTGAAAGCATGATAGACTGAAGGAATGGAGGTATGAATGAACGAACGGAATGCAATGGATTTGATGGAACGGAATGAATGGAATGCAATGAATGGAACTGATTGAATGGAATGGAGTGGACTGGAACGGATGGATGGATTCAGGTATATGAAATGCTCGATGCATGGAACGAGCGGAATGAATGGAACGAACGGAATGTGAACGGAATGGATGGAATGAATGGAATGAATGGAATGAATGGAATGAATGGACTGAATGGAATGAATGGAATGAATGGAATGAATGGAACCAATGGCATGATTGGAATGAATGGAATGAATTGCATGAAAGGAATGACTGGAATGACTGGAATGAATGGACTGAATGGAATGATTGGAATGATTGGAATGAACGGAATGTGAATGGAATGAATCGAGTGAATGGAATGAATGGAATGAAAGGGATGACAGGAATGAAACGAATGAATGAAATTCATGGAATGATTGGAATGATTGGAAAAGAATGTGAGCGAAATGAGTGGAATGCTTTCGTATTCAAATCGTCATGTTGCAGCTTGGAACCGTAATAGGATATTTGAACAATGTTTTGGGAGAAGCCACCGATGTCTCAATATCCTGAGTTTGCTTTCGTGGTTTGGGTGTGGTGTAGCGACGTGTAGCTGAGCACGCAGACCACATTCAGTGCCATTTTTGACAATGTACGTGCTCGGGTGTCCATTGTTGCTAACTTGGCCGTTTGCAGCGACGTGGTGGTTCAAGAGAAGGTTCTCATGTGTGGCCAAGCTGCAGTGCCCCGCTTGCAACAGCAATTGCCCAGGTCGGTGGATAGGTGTTGAAAGGCAGGCGTTCTGAATGTCAGCATATGACGCCTACATATAAGCAGAGTCACGGCATACTGTAGGCAATCTTAGGCACACAGGTCAAGTCGAGAGATCAATTGGACTGTAAGTTGACATGATGTAAAGTCGCCAGCTCTGCACGGTTGAGCTTGTGGTGGAAATTGCTTGTCCCAACGCAAGGAAATTTGGCGGCTTTGTCAGCACAACGTTGATTGAGTGTCCACGCTCAGTGCATTGATGCATGATTTGCATAGGAGAATGGTTGCTTGTATCTGACCATGAATGGCCCTACTGAAGGTGAAAGCTTACCAGAGCGGACGAAGACTTCGATGCATGGAGTTCCGTCAGCTTCACAGCGGAAGGCCTATTTGCAGCATTTTGATCCTGGTGTCACTGTTCATGACATCTGCTTTGTGGTTGCCTGGCAAGGCTTCTGCCACAGCAGCCGACTGCCGCTACACACGCAAAGGGCGCTTCAGTGCTTGGCTGATCAAGGCAACCAACGAGAAGCTGGAATCAAGACGGGATTCCGTTGCTGTGATGATGCCCATGCTCCTTTCATGATGCACCACTCGCAGCCTTAGCAGAATGGCCAGAGCCGTTAACTTTTTAGATCATGAAGTCTTGTTGGGTGATTGTCTCGCTCGGCTTCTCACTTCTCCAGCAGCCTAGCATCTTAAGCAGGAAATTTGCAGAGACTTCCGCCGTCCCAGCGCCATGGGTTCTGCGATAACTACCATAGTGTTTCAGCCGCCGCAGGCCACAAGTTGCAAAATACAGGTGCAGGTGCAGGATCTCAGACGTGACTCTTGCGACTGCCGTGCAGCCATCCCTGACAGCCTAGCTACAGTCGAGATCCAAATCTCATCTGGCTCAGCACTTCGGAGCACGAAGTGATCCCTGCCTTCTTTATTGACAGGTGGGGGTGCTAGTTCGATGACGCATGACTTGCCTTCCCTCTTCGGCGAAGTGTCCATGCAATGTCAGGGATGCCAAGTTCACGCTTCTGTTTAGCCACGGCAACGCGGAGGCTGGCTGTGAAGGAGCTGGATGCATTGGCTCCCGTGAATCTTGGGCAGGACTTGGGGATGATCATCCAGTATTTCCGGGAGGTTTCGCACATATTGGACGCTGGGCTACATAACCGCTGGCATGTAGGCACATGGTGCTATGATGTGGTGCGAGAATGTTGTTGTTGTTTTTCCTTTCGGTCTCAGGATGTGAATGTCTTCGCGTATGATTACACTGGATACGGGATGAGTTCAGGCTCTTGTGCCACCGGCCCACGGCCCTGGGCCCTGTTTGGATGTGGGGAAGTCCGCCCTCAGGCAAGCCATCGGAGCAAGCTCTGTATGCTGACATCGAGGTGAGCCTCAGTGTCCGCTCCCATTTGGGGTGACGTGCTCTGTCGGGAAGCAGAGGCGGCCTTCAAGTACCTCCGCGACATCGTCGGTACGCCGTGGAGTGAGGCAAGGAGCCAAGATTGCGTGCATGCTTCTGTCAGCCTGTCCCAGTTTTGCAGAGACCTCGCTGAGATTGTGGTGTATGGAAGATCAATCGGGTCGGGTCCATCCATCCATTTGGCAACGAGGACACTGCTTGCCTCACGGGGAATGAAACTCGCGGTTCGATTCACAGGACTGCCGTAAGAGCCATTGTGCTCCAGAGTCCCCTGCTCTCAATCTACCGGGTGGCATTTTCCTCCAGGTGGGGGCAAGACGCTGCCGTGCTGCACATCCTCTTAAGGAGTCGCAGCATGCTCTTCTCTCTGTGATTTTGCACCCTGAGTTTCACGCTGCCCGGCGACATGTTTCCCAATGTGGACAGAATAGGCGGCTTGGCCGAAACCATGTACTTCCAATGCCGCCTTCCGTCGATTTCCGGCTCAGGTCAGGTAAAATGCCCTGTGTATATCGTTGGAGCCCTCAGAAGATAGCATTGAGCCTGTCAGATGCCTGGCTCTCAGTCAGTGTATGTACAGCATTCAGTCCCAGGTGCATGGGACGCAGGAGTACGGAGTTCTGATCGGGCCCCGGTGGTGGGAGTTTGAACGTGTTGGTGAGATCACGCAGGACGAGATCATTCCATCGTCTCATGCAGAGGATTTGGTTCGAAACTGTCGCGAGGCTGGGACAAATCTAGGTGTGGGTTGCGGTGTGATGAGAGCCGAGCGGGTCAATCCCGAATGCAAGAACGAGAGCTTTGCCGTGCCAGGGAATCGCGTACCCGCCCTACCTAGTCGAGAACGGCGGACACAACAACCTTGAACTGATTGCTCGGCAGCCGTTTTATGACAACTTCACAAAGTTCCTTCAGTGGTCCGGATCCTACATTTGCTGCGCACCTTTCAGCATGTGGCGGCCCCAACCAGAGTCTTGCTGAATCTCGAGGTTGGAAAAAAGCGAGATATCGGAGGAGCTGCACCAGCACTCTGTTTCGGCTGAGCTTTGAGCACTTCCTGTCTGGTATAAATCTCAGGTGAAGCACAGATAGCCACGTAGATGCAGAGTCTGAAAGATTTGTTTCGACACCAGACATACCCCTCTTCGGATGGACTTCATTGCTAGAGCCTTGAAGGCCTCGCTCTTTCATCCGTTATGCTAATTCACCTGGCCGCGATGACAGCATCATGGCCTGATCACACGCTGCTCTGGAACTTTTAAAGTGCTGCCGGAGCTTTAGGCATGTGCATCTCTTCTCGGATCGCTTGCAGTAGCCTGAAAGCTCGATTCTCTCTGCAGGCACTTTAGAAAAATCTGTGACTTGACTTTCGTCGGATGGCTATGGTACTGGCTTGCTCTCGTTTGGCAACGTCTGGCTACCCTGTACTGTGAGCAGGGGAAGAGCGACGGCGTGAAGGCCAAGTGGTTCCAGAGTCTTGGACGTCGGTGCGCCCCGAAGATTCAGACTGCAGCTGCGAAGAGTGGAGCAAACCGCATGGTTGTGATTTTGTGCCTCGCCGCATCCTCAAGCTTAGATGCTTGGCTAGCTTTGTGTCCGTGTCCAAGTTGTTTGTAAAAGCAGTGCACTCACACACACACACACACCCACACGACACCAAGAAGAGAACTTAGAGAAGGAGGCTTTGGAGGCCCGGCGAGACGCCTCGACCAAGCGCTGGGGCAGGGGAAGGAGTCAGTAGGGCATGACCGTGATTGCGACGACGACCCGACTATGGCTGAAGCAGACGGGCAGGCCTGTTTAACGATAGCTGACGCAAACGTGTTCGGACTTTCTGCCGGACGGTTTCAGGATGCCCTGGGCGCAGCTGCGCAAGGCCTGGGGGGGGGATAGGCTCTCCAGGCGTTTGCTAACATTGACCATGTGTCTTGTCCAGGACACTCCGAGGGGTCGGCCCTTGCGAAGACGAGCCGACCCCAGCCTGCATGTGCAACTGTGACGGCGACTAGCCGAACCCACTTAAGAAGTGCTCCGTCTTGCCGAGTTTGCATCCTTTTCGGTGCAGGGGGATGGGCAATGGCGACTCATCTCCGAGATGTACCGCACGAGCCTCAGTGACCAAGCACAGCCGACTAACTCGAGCCCGATGAAGATCTTGTTGCTGTGGCGATGTGCGCAGTGTACACAGTACCGTTTGGACCGGAGTGTTGTGTTGGTTCCGATTCCAGGAAGGTGAGGCTTGAGCCCTCGGTGCACCTCAGTGTGTCCTTGAGACTCGTGTGACTCGGTTATGAGCAGCGCCGATGTATGTATGCGGAAGGGGATCGGGATTCCAGGGCAATGGTAACAGCAACATCGTCGTCGTCAGCATCATGGCCATGGTCATGAGCCTGAGCGTTCAGCCTCATCTCTGGCATCACTGCGATCGGCACCATAGACACCGTGTTCATGATCAGCATCGTATAGTCTGTGTTTTGCTGTGTTTTGCTTTGTCTTCATGATAGTTAGTGTTGATCATTCTCCTTATCCTAATACGTAGCATTGCATCAGCATCAGCATCTGTGTTTCATCTCCGAACATCCAGCATGTCCCAGACAGCTTCGAGTGCAACGGCTTTGACATGGCAGTATCTGCAAGACGTCCACTCACATGGCAACTGTTGCCATTCTCCCCACCCATACGTCTCCAAAGCCTGGCCGACCGCCTCTTCTTGCAGTTGACCTTCGCAAGTTTCTCTTGAAATCTCGTTTACTGGCCTCGGCCAGCACTTCCTGCACCTGCGCCCCCACTTAAACAGCGTCCAGCGCGGGCCCAGCAGGGGTTAAAGGTTTCGGAGCTTCAGCTCAGGCAGTCTTGGATGCGCCGTTGGCAAATCCCGTCTTCATGTCGGATGCGCCAGCTGCCTCAGGGTTCGTCTTCTCAAGCAGCAGAGGCACAGAGCAAGTGTTTCTGGAGAGCGACGAATAGCAAGGGCTTTGTTGCATTCTCGCCGACTCTTGCGAAAGCTTTATCCTCCGCTGAGGCCGAACTTCCTGCAAAGGTGTGCCTGCATGTTTGCTGGTCGAAGAATTGGAGAGCAGTCGGAACGTATCGTCTGTCCTGTGTATCCATCCATCCATCCATCCATCTATCTATCTATCTATCTATAATCTATCTATGTATCTATCTATTCGCCTTTTTAGCTATCTGTCTATTTAATTTATCTATCTAGTATATGTGCATGTATACTGTGTATACATATATATATATAATATGTATATATAGAGTATGTTCTCATCTCTTGTTGCCTGCACGAAGTGTACGCCGTCGATATTGCATCGCCGCGCCCATGGATCGAAGCAAAAGGCTTCCATCAATGCAAGCTAAGCGACTATGCATACCGCAGGGAGTCATTCTGACAGCCTGACATGCTGACAACGACAGACCAGCTGCCTACGCAAGAGCTTTTTATTCGGTGAGCTTTGAGCATGGGCATGTCCCGTGTCCTGTCGAGAATGTCATGGTATGATCCATGGTGACTGCCTCGCAGAGGCCAGATCCGGGCGAGAAGCTCAAGTAGGGAGTGGAAGCACGCTTTTCCGAAGGCTCCTCTTGGATGGTTCGGAGTGCCTGGATGCCGCGAGGAGACAGGTGGGTCACCGGGGCACAGCGCAGGAGTAGCGGAGTCTGAGTGTCGAGGGGTTGAGCCAGCGGCCGACTCCGCCCTCCGTCATCAAGGAGGCACGCAACTCAGGTGGCTGCCTTTTCACTTCGTGCAAAGTCTGGGGCCGGAGGCAAACTCAGTGCGGTCCACGAACTGGCCTTCGGACTCGGTGCCTGCATCTTGGCGGCACTCAGGGTTTGAAGACGCTGTACCGGCAAACCGATGGTTTGAAGGTGAGCGCTGACGATGCGGTTGAGGACTCCCCGCCTGCAAGGAAGCGCCGTGCTGAGGGTCAGTTTACATCCAGGTTGCACGGCGGGCCTCCGAGCGTGCAACCCGCCGCAACAGGCAGCAGCAGACTCAGCATAGTGCCAACACGGTTTGAACAACACGGTGCATGTACTTGTTACTTGGTTTTTCGAAGCAAACTTCTGCATAAGGTTGCGGGTTCCACGCCGGACCAAGAGCGTCTCAGTGAACGATCCGTTCGCACAGTCGCAGTCATCTTCAGAGCGGCTTGAACAACACACTCGCAGCCTTCCCTCGCCGCAAAGCTCGCTCACCCCTCTGAGCAGCAGTATTTTGGCTGACATGCGCTCAAGCTCGAGAGATTCCAAAGACCAAGAATGCGCCGTGGCAAGAATAGCAGAAGTCGTTATGGAGTCGCTGTTTGTCGCAAGCGAGCAGGTGCCTCGGTTGGAACGACTTTGACAACTTCAAACGTCGGCTATTTGAGTAGGCCAGGCCAAGAAAGGATGCCCATGCTCCTACCTATGGCTATGCCGCGTCTTTGCAGGCCAATGGTTCTTCCCCCGCCTCCAGATCATGATGCATCCAGCCCGGCTGATGATGCGTGGTCATGGAAGTCAGTCCCTGCCTACGGATCTGCTTGCGTCACTCCGGCGGCTCGTCTGCAGTATGCAAGGAACCTGAGACTTAACAAAGCTTGCCGGAAAGGGTTCGGAGCATCTAAGGCAGGAACGATGATGGACACGACACCGATACACACCGAGGTCTCGGAGGCACTTTCGAATTCTCAGGTCATAATCCGGAGTTGCATGGCTTGTACAGGCCAGCGTGCGCTGGCGACCTGTGACATCCAACGTCTTGCCGCCACTGTGCCGTGGCAGCAATTGGCCTCCAGAGCGTAAGGCACACACAGGAACGCAAGTTTGGCGTTGGTACCAGTCCCTGTTCAACCGAGGCCGCCTATGTCAGCACCCGAGTGTGGTGACAGCAAGGCATAGCAGCGCAGGTCTGTCAGTAAACCAACGACGCTGTCGTAGTCAAGTTTCCGCGACCCCGGTGCCTGGACACCTCAGCCCTTAGCAGTTTCTGCTACCCAGGTCCTGTGAGTTGCGATTCTGGCTCGAGGCCATGGAGACTGCACAGAAGGCAGCTTCACACCTCCTTCGATTCTTCAATCCAAGAAGCTTTTGGGGCCTGGATGCAATAACAAGTCCATCCTTGCAGGCAGACTTACTGCAAGACCCTGTCGGCATCCTAGACCTTCCTCGCTGCAGTAAGCCTTTTGTGCTGGTTTCCTTGAGTTTATTGAGATCTGTATCCGGTCGCACGTGGATGGGAGCATCGAACAACGAGCTCCCAAGATTCAAAATGCGATCGCCAAGCCTCTTTTCCGTCATGACGGTAGCTGCTGATGCGATGTCATCAGGGGACAGATGGTAGCAGAGCCCGTAGTGTGGCCCCAAAGTCGGACGAGTAAGTGCATGACGCGCAACTGTTGGGTTTTTTTGGTGATTGGTCAAGGCCAGACTCGTGAGCTCTCACGGGCGAGCGAAGCCGAATCGCTTGCACCAGGAGCTTCTGTATGCAGTGTGCTGACTCTTTCGCAGCCCTGAAACGTAGAAATAATCATAGTCCAGAGGAGATAATTCGGATTGAACTTGTCAGGACTCACAGAGCGAGGCGTGACTTCACCTTCAGTCAGCTTTGAGAGGTCAGAGAGACATCGGATGGCTGCTGCAGCTGCCGCAGGTTGACGTTGAAGTCAATGCATTGCGCCAACAGGTGCAGCAGGTAGCCGAGGAGTTGGTGTGAGATCTGCATCTAATCGAAGCCTCGCTCGAGCTTCAGATGGGCTGCCCATGCATCCTGCACCTATGCAGGAGCGGGACGTGGCACTCAGCGAGCTCGCAGAGCTGAAGGCCTGGGATCTCAGGGCCCTTGAAGCTCCTGCAACTCCTGCAGTGAGATGCAGGCCAAGCATGAACGACTTCAGGAGTCGGCGTGGTCCCCTTTGAGATTTCATGGGATGCAGGCTTGATATACCCTTTTTTCCGAGGAAGAGAAGCTGCGCCAGGGACAGCGTGAACTGGAAGCCCAAAGAAGGGAGCGACTCTCAGACTCAGGGGTCCAAGAGCGGTGCCCCCGTTGAGCCGATGGGGCTCCTTGGATTGCAGCGTGCAGCTGTCAGAAGGCCCAAGCTGCAAGATGACACATGAACGGAGTCTGTATCATGTAATTCCTACACATACGCGTAGTCCAGAGTAGAGACGAGGCAAAGCATTGCAGACCATCAAGAGCATCTTCTGCTAGGGTACAGGCTGCGCATAGACCGTCCGAAGTGCAAATCGCCAGGCTGGACATGAGCTGCATCGGCTTTCTGCGAAACACAGCAGCTTTCCGAGAGGCGGTTTCACACAGTTGGCATGACCCAGCTGCTCGAAGAGGGCGTGGCGCATCCACAGGACGGCCTTTCTATGCTGTTGTATGCGGGAGTCTTCGCTTCTCTTTTGATTTTACTTTGATGTTAGGGAAAATGTGCCAGCCGCTTGGGGTTTCTTTCTAGTGGCAGGAGGTCTGCTTTCGTTTACCACGCCGCGCCGCCCGCGCGGCCCTTGTCATTGGCATCTTCTTCGGGGTCGGGATCCCGGAATCCCGCCGGGGCACTGGAAGGGCTACCCTAAACCCTGAACCCTTCAAAGCGATCTCCGATATCCGGTCACGAGGCCCTTTTTGCTCTGCAGTGGCAGAGGGAGCTGCAGGAGGCCCCGGGGAGGAGGAAGACTGAAGAGCATAGCAGGGTGTTTTTTTAAAATTGCGGCGGATGAATCTGCTTTCCACACCCGGCGGAAAATGCAGATCGAGCTCGGCTTGCGATGTGGGGCAGTGCTAATCTGGAGGCAACGGCTCCTGCAGAGGATTGGTCACTCAGGCCGGGGTCCGGGATCTGCAGGACTTGGTGTGATGTGGCATGGGATGGGTGGAAGCTCGGTGTTGATGACAGGTGACACTGCCGCCACCATGGCAGCCGGAAGCACAGTCCTGGGGTTCATCCGAACAGACACAGACATTTTGCAAAGCCTTCACTGGGATCTGGAAATCTGTCATCCACAACTAAACCTTCTCCAGCCCCACATTGGGTGGTTGTCAAAATTATGGTCCCTGGGTGGGTCCCTAGTAGAATACGGCACCTATTTAGGGTACCCAAAAAGGGACCTTAATTTTGACAACTCCCCCCTACTCTGAGGCAATGACAAAGGCAGAATGCGTTGCAATTTGCGTTCAGGCAGCTCCGGGCTCAGCTTGCTTTCTTTGGAATACGGCTGCCCATCTGGGGCCCATATGGGTGGTTGTCAAAGCTATGGCCCCTTGTTTGGATACCTTAAATATTGGGTGCCGTACTATAATAAGGACCCAAAAAGGGACCATAATTTTGACAACCATCCATATAGGGAAGAAGGTCTTTGGGGTTATGTTTCATTCTTCCTCAATTTATGGGGACTCTGACTGTAAGGGCCTGTTCTTGCCAAGTATGAGTAGGTTCTTGGAGGTTCATGGGTAGTTATAAGTAGGGTTATAAGTAGGGTAACTATACTTAAAACTTAAAACCCGTATTAGGGGACTTATAACCCTACTTCTAACTACCCATGGACCTCCAAGTATGCTGCAAGGTCTCTGCATGGAAAGCCGTCCAGATGCCACTGGTGCGGCGCTCGGAGCCTCCGGCCCGAGCATATATTCCGCTTGCAGCGCCTAGGGTTTAGGGTTTAGGGTTTAGGGTGTAAGTAAGGTAACCATACTCAGAACCCATAGTAGGAGACTTATAGTCCAACTACATATCCCACTTATAAGATCTGATAAGCAGGGTATCCATAGTTCTAACCCATAGCAGGGGACTTATAACCCCACTTATAACGGCCCCTCTGACTCCCCGAGGTGGAGCTCGACGAAGATCAGCGAAGGATGCGGATGTGAGACTGAGACGGCTGTTTGTTTTGGAGTGCTCTGAGCGCCGGCAGAGGTCCCTCTGGGATCGCAGGAGCTCAAAGAGAGGGCTGGGAGTCGAAAGCTCCCTTCTAGTAGTGCTCCTGAAAAGATTCCTTTCCTTAGTTGTTCTTTCAATTTGCTTCTGTTGCTGTGTTCTTTTGATGGTTTCTGCCGGGTTTGTGTCGGTTTCTGTAGGAGTTGTCGCTTCTTTGCTTCAAGAAGCGGCTTGACAATGAAGCAGTCAAAGGACTTTGCCACGTAGCGGCGGACTGCCATGAGTCAGCGTGGAGCTCGAATGAGTTCCACCCTGCCCTCGGAGGCCCACCTTTGCAACTTCCATCCTCTAAGACTGCCTTGGTTGAACTTCAGACTCCTGGCCTCCGCCGGTGAATTTGTTGAATGTTTAAGTGTGCCCAGGCAGATTTCCTGGTGGCAGACGGATAGTCTGCGTGTCTTAATGTCGTCACTGCGCCGACAGTGCACGGATTCAAGAAGGGCGGAGAGGAACAAGGCGGTGCTATCCGCAGAACATTGCTCATCTTCCCGACGTGTTGGCCGTCCTTGTATCTCTACTTGCATCTTCAGATACACAGACCTGTAGCATGTGCAGTGATGTGTACACGTTCATGTATTTACATTTGCCGGATCTGTGAATTATGTGTGTTTTTGAACACATGCATGCATAGATACACGTGCAAGGATGAAGTGAGCTGTAATACACATGACATTGTGAGTCAATATAGCGCGCTGTAATGACATGGTGGCATGGTACACAGCATGACGTTTACTCAGCCAAGCACGCATGCATGGACGTCCGCATAGATGCATGATCGCAGACATGCCTCTTTGTGTAAGTAGACAAGTATATATGTATGTATGTGCTTATGTATGTATGTACGTATGTATGCATGTGTGTATGTATGTATGCATGTATGTATGTATGTACGAGTTATCGAGGTGGGTAGATAAACACACATATTTATGTGGCATACATATGATGCTACATGTGCATTTGATTACGTGTATAGGGGTGTTGTGTATACATGCATAAGTGTATCTGTGTACTCATGTGTGCACATGTGACCCTAAACCCTAAACCCTAAACCCTAAACCCTAAACCCCTAAACCCCTAAACCCTAAACTCTAAACCACACACACGCACACATTCAAAGATACATATCACACAGCCAATATACTTGCGAGTCCAAGGCCGAGCAGGCTGATTGGCAGCGCCGCGTCAATGAGCTGGGCCCTTAGCATGAGCATGGGGGGGCCTTGAAGGGCGTTGAAGGGCTGAGAGGTTATTATGATACTATTATAATACTATCATAATACTATTACAATACAATACTATTATAATATTACTATAAAATATTATAATACTATTATAGTACTATCACAATACTATTATAATACTACTCTTCTGTGGCTCCGTCGTGGCAGTGGGTTTTCGCTACTTGCCAGGCTGCAGGCGGCTCCTCCGGCACAAGAGGACGAGGTCCCCGAAAGCCAAACTTACCGCTGTGATTGCTGTCGATGCACGGCTGGTGCGTGGGTTGCAAAGACTAAAGAAGGCTGCAAAGGTCGAGGAGAAGGAGGAAACGGCTGGGCGCACATTCTTCCTTTCAGAGCACCGGCCACTTTCTCTGTATCTTGGAGTTTCCGGGTCCAAGGTCCGGCCAACCCTGCGTGATGGCCTTAACAGCAGCTGCGACGTTGCACATAGAACTGCAGAGCCGTGAACACGTCTCACAATTGTCCGATAGGCGTAGATCTGAGATCTGCGCGGCCCCAGTGGAACAAGCTCTCGCCCGGATCTTACAGTCCGTCATGAGACTGGCAGTCTTTGCTTGCTTATATCATCTTCTCGGGCTAAACGAATTGAATCGGCTGCATGCAATTGCCACATTCATCTGAGCAAACGTAAGGAAAGTCATGCGTGCGCAAGCTGCCTGGAAATCGGCAAAAGCTTTGTCGGTGCTTCAAGCAGAGACCGAGTAGCGAGGTTTCCTGGCCTGCCGCTGTCTTATACTTTTTCGGTAGACCAGTGACCAGCGACGTCAGCTGTAGCTTTGCACCCTCATTCCAAAGTTTGCATGAGGGACAGAGGGCACGTGCTGCATGTCAGCGCCGTGCTCCACCGGAATGCCAAACCGGCTAGGCTAATGAATAGAGTGGCTATGCTTGGCAACAGTGACAAATGTCCTAGTTGCTGGGACAGTGTAAAGCACTGTGCCTCTTCTCCACCCAACCAGCCTTTTCAACGAGCAATAGAATCGCAAAGTGCGTGAAAAGGGTAAGCAGGTGTAGACTGCTTTTGTTTGCCTCGCCTGTTGCTATCCGATGCTACGGCCAGGCAGCGTAACAGGGCCGCCAAAGCGCTGGTCAGCGAGCATGCCGGCACCATCACCTGCCGGAAGCTCGAAGGATTCGAAGGCCCTTGGAGGCGACACTGACAAGAGCAATATATTCGCATTAATATATTTTCGTAATAGTATTATAATAGTATTATGATGGTATTATAATAGTATTATAATAGTATTATAATAGTAGTATGATAGTAAGTATTACAAAAGTATTATAATGGTAGTATAATAATAGGGTTATAATAGTATTATAGTAATATTATAATAGTATTGTATTGTAATAGTATTATAATAACCTCAGAAGTCTGCAAAGCTGAGGTCGCTGTCAGAAGTGCGCGGAGGCTCGAATTGGGAGTCCTCGTTCTGAAGTTTTTCTTTGCTCGCATGCCGGCCTTGTAGCCCGGGCTCAATCGGGCTCATGTTGCAAAGAGAGCAGGAGTCCGCAAGATCTTTCAGAGTGTATCAGCCTTTCCAACTCATGCATTAGCCGAAGACGGCACAATCGAGGCTGTTACCAAGCAGACTTCATACGCGATGTCGCTTGGCGCCTCCGCTTCCTCAGTGTCTGTGGCCAAAGCGGCCTTGCGGAAGCAGGCCAGGGATGTGGGCCGTTAGGACTCAGACTTACAGTAGGACTTCCAAACTGGGTCCAAGTGTGTGAAAATAAGCACTTCCCATCCCTGGCATCTGTCTCAGCTGCAGGTTCGCGCGAGCCTGAAGATCCTGGATGACGCTGAACTGAATCGCCAAAGCGAGGTGCAAGGGGTCACGGTGCGCAGGGCCACTTGTGTGTCGGTAGATCTCTTCGTGTGCACCTTGGTCAGGCCGTTTGCGAACGACTGGTTCGCAGCAGCCTCTTCACGGCGAGTCAGAGGATTGGCATCTTTCTCGCGATGCCAATGGGAGAGCTTCGGACAGGGCCCATATTGCGGCAAGCCTACTCCAGCGGAAAGCAGGTGTTCTGCCCGAGGGTGATGGGCGATGGCTGGATGGAGTTCTTCGAGGTGAAGAGCTTGGAGGAAGCCGGTTCTCTGCCGCTGTCGAAGTGGAAGATACCGGAGCCTCCCGAGGATTTTCCCAAAGTGGAGCCATGGGATTTGGATCTTCTGCTGGTCCCGGCTGTCGCTTTGGACCTGAGTCGAAGGCGCTGTGGTCAGGGCATGGGCTTCTATGATCGCTATGTCCAGCGAGCTAAACAGCGACCCGACGGAAGCCGGCCTCTGAGAACGATTGGGCTTGGACTTCTGCAACAAAGACAGGAGGAAGTGCCCTGTGAGTCGCATGACGAGCTGCTTGACGCAGTCGTCTTTCCCGATTGTGATGTTTTCCCCACAGCATGCGAGCCAGCAGATCCAGGGAGACCATAGCTCCAGAAAAAGCCCGAGTATACGCTGGCGGTGAAGTCGGCTCTCGTAGCAGGAGAGTTTGCCGTGCTTAAACTTGGAAGGCAGCCAGGGCACGTGCTGGCCCAGCAGTAAGTCCTGCCACGCACCAAGAAGCCCGAAGTAGCTCTTTCACACGCTCTCTTTGTGCCACCCTGCACTTCTTGACCTTCAAGGATTGGCCTTTGCCTCCTGTGAGCAAGTCAACGAGCAGTGCCTGACCTAGCGTCTCCTTGCATCATCTTTCTACAAGTACTAGTATTCATATTAGTATTAGTACTCGTATTATTATTCGTATTAGTCTTGGTATTGGTATTATTTTTAATATGAATACTAATATCGAGCACGTCTCCGTCTTCCTACGAAATGCACCTGCTCGGTGCCAGATCATGCGCTGAATCCGGCTCTCCAGATGAAGGATTCGACCACCCACCGAACCATAACTAGCCTATGCTGCCCGAAACGCGCATTGTGTCAGGCTTCCCTAGAATCAGAATCTGTCACCAGGCTTTCCACAAGCCACGGACAGCCTTTGTAAGGTGCACTTGTTTCCCCATTTGGATATCGTGCAAGCTGATCCTTTTCCGCATGCGTTGTCATCCATGCATTCCTTTTTCCTTCTTGAGGCACTTTGGACGTTTGGCCAACAATGGCCCCTCAGGCTTCTGTGAATTCTTAGTTTTCGTGCTTTGATGTCATCTCATGTTCTGCGTTCATCGGTGAGAGGCCCGCCTTCAGCCTAGCAGCCTGCCTGGCAAAAGGCCCGCTTCTTGTGACAGCCGTGGCTCCGTCGATGATGTGCTCGGATGTGCTCCGCTGGAGGCCGCAGATGCGTGCTCGGGGTGCGGAGGTGCGCTGATATGCGCTGATGCACTCTTTTCTTAGCGGCCTTTCCCTATCTTGACTTCTTAGGCAGGGAATGCGGATCAACGTCCCCTTTCACCGGATGGCGGAGTGCAGGCGCAAGCTTCATGAACGCTTCTTGGGGACTCCAGAAGTATCGTGGCCAGACCGTGAAACGTGACTACACTTGGCTTCTTCGGGCTGCTTGGTTAGAAATTTGAACTTGCTCTGCCCCCACACTTGCTGGCAAAGGCTTTCTTCTGGTTCACTGGTCATTGCTGAGGTCATTTCAGAAATCGTTCCCAGTGAAGGTTGGGGCATTGGCATCTCCACCGCTGGCTGCTTCCGGAAATGTGACTCTGCGAGGAGGGGGCATTCCTGGCACGGTGAGCTACGATGGTACTTGGGTGCCAGACCCTGCTTCTTTACAAGGCCCAAAAGAAGTGCCCTGGAGCTCCGCTCCGGACTTTTGAGCTCCTTCTTGTCGGCAGGGAAACTGGGCATCATGTTGCCAGACACTGTCATCTTGGAGAAGGGGAAGCCCAAGAGGAGGCAGCGAAAAGCATGGTTGTGGTATGTTGTGGTGATTGAGTAGGCAGCACCGTTAGAAGTGCAAACTTAAACCAGATCCAGCACCGAATTATCTCCACGGACAGTTTGATGAGTACTCCGCCATCTGCAAGTCTCGGTGTTACAGCTAAGTTGCGAAGAAATCAAAAGGAGGCTGTTTTTTTTTGGAGGTACCACATCGATCCCGCGGGCCGGATTCAGGCGGCGCCCCAAGCTTGTTCATCACTGTAGCAGCTACTGTAAGGCGTCTAGCCTAGTCTATGCAGCACTCTGGTAGCCTCTGGTGACTCGTGGTGCGTTTTTTGTTGACTTCTTGCTCATGTCCGGAGTCTTGCATGCAAGAATCTGTTGGTTCGTTCTTCACTGAAGAGAGCTTGCGCTGTGGGAGCCACACCATGGGATTCGATTCAACCCTCTGGGTTCTCATTGTTGTTTTTGTTCCTCTTCGTCTTCGTTCCCGGTGCTTTCTGCTGCCGAGAGCGTATTAGTCACGTGTGGTGGCGCCCTGCGGCCGCGGCTCCCTCACTCCTTTCTGAGTTTTGTCTCCAATCTGCTGTAAGCCTGATCCGTGTCCTTGCACATCTCACATCCTTCTTTTCGGACAGGAGCGTTTTGCGTTGTCAGAGTTTGCCAGCAGAAGAAGCTCTCTCTCCTCCGAGCTCTGCACATCAGAAGAGAGCCCCGTGACATCTGAAGACTGCATGCTGCCTTGAGGAGCTCTGCCTTGTATCCCAGCCTGGACTGCGACTACCGAAGGTGTATATTATGACTAAGGGCGTGTGTAGTAGTTTTCACCCGGGACGGCGTGCAAATATGTTTCTTGGGGTCTGAGATCAATTCTGAAGTTCATGCCAAAGACGCCATTTGCGCACGAATGTGTTGGGGTAGAGCAGAGGCGGCAAGGGTCAATGCTTCCCAAGCCAGTAAAGCAAAGCGGAACGGAATCAGACAATGTGCAGACTAAGATTGGGAGTTTTTAGGCGGGGTTTCCCGGCCTTCGCTGCCGCGAATGGCTTTGCCGCAGTGATCCAGCGAGCAACACCGAAAAGTTCAAATCGTCAGCGCGCGCAGCCACCGCGCCCCGGATTCGCAACGGCTCTCCCCCGACTCTGCCCCGACTCTCCCCGACTCTACACACGCGTGTGTATATGATCACTAAGGGCGCAATGCAGATTCCAACTCCATTGGACCACAAATCCTTCTGTCCAGTTTCCTGAACCCGTTGTGTGCTGTCGTGCAGTCGGTTCGAAGGTGACCCGGATGAAGACCTCAGCCGAGCTCCTGCGGGTTTTGCGTGACTTTGTCCGGAAGGCTCCGCGGTTGGTGTGCTGCGGGCAGGCGGTGATAGGCGGTGTCTGTGGGCAAGCTGAGGCCATCAAGCCAAGGGAGCCCGCAAGCACGAACCCTGGGCTGCTTGGACTTTTTCCATGTCACGATGTGGGCCTGGGGCCTCCAGGCCGTCAGGAGAGCAAAGATAGCAAGGCCGCCCTCATCTTGGTGTCTCCGGATGCCTACGGCTCACATGTTGGGTCAACGTGCACGAAGAACAGGCTTTGGGCGGCAGCCGATCTGAGGGTTCCCTGCAGGCCTGCGCTGGACTCTCGCCCGGCAGTAAGGATGGCGTTGGTAGCACCTTCCAGGCTGTCGCGGGCATATCTTCAACCGGTTGGCAGCTTGGATCTGGGCGCTTTAAACCACCGTACACCTTCAGAGACGATATCTTGAGGGATGGCCATGGCCTCAACCCTGGATAGTCGGACATCCAGTGCAGGCCAGCGACTTACGCGTTTCCGCAGGGAATCGGCAGCTGTCTGGGATCTAACTGAGGGCATGCTGGTGTCTTCCCCCTCCCTGCATGTCTCTCCACTTGTGCCATGCAGTATTCCGCGGGTCGTGCAGTCGTCCGTCTGCGCTGAAGCGCTTGACTGCTTGACATCCGACCAGCAAATTCGCTTTCACACCTGTTTTCTTCATTGGGCATGCCTGCTCGTCGTGATTGTAATCTCGTAGTGTGGCGGCTGCTAGTTGCAGACAGCTCGACAGCAATCCAAGCAGCGCGACACATGCGGGGCCTTCCTTTCCAGGGCGACTTGCCTCAGGGCTCGCATGCTCAGTCAAGGCCCCCCATCAGTTCCAATTCCACAGATCGAGGCCACGGATTCGTGCAAGCTGCCGTTCTGTTTCTGGGTCTTTGAGTGTGTCAGCTCTTTCCTGGTGGCGGGCAGGTCGCCGTGCTCTGCTACGACGACGGACTGTCTCGGCTGATGATGCTCGCCGAGGTCTCCCTGGTTTCCGGTGTGTGTGGGGGCATGTCTTGTTGGGTCTCCAGCAGGCCGTGAGCCAAATCAGAGGTGCCAGCAAGTTGCCGCGGGAGCGGCCTGCTCAGTCGTTCCACACCGCTAGTCTCCAGCCCGGGTTCAGAGAGCTCCTGGCTTCGTTTCTCTGCTGTTTGGCGGCATGACCAGGTTCTGGCAGCATATCCACGTTCTTCAAGTGCAAGATCTCAGACGATCGTCGCAGTTGCGGAGCTACAGCCAAGTGAAGTTTGAGTCGCCATGCATCTTGCAGGGTGAGACCCGGTGCCGCTGCTTTCTGCCCAGACCTGCTGTTGGTGCTATGCCGAAATGGACGGAACAAAGTGAAGCACATGGCTGGGACAGAATAGTTATCGTCACAAAACTGGTCTTCTATGCACAGGAAGCCAGAGCAATACAAGTCTGAAAAAACTCACATCTCTTCCTTCTCACCTGGCGCCACAATGCCGATCAAGAAGGCGCGCCACGTAGCCTGCCGAAGTGTTCATGCAAGGCACCCTTACAGCAAGATGAGTGCTGACTCCCACTGACAGGACGGCAAACTGCCCAGGACCCCTTTGGATGTTGAGAGCCAGGTCCTCAGAATTTTCTGAGAGCTTCGATGTTATCATCAGCAGATCTCATCTCGATAGCTGAGTGCTAGGGACCCTTTATCCTTAATGCCCATAATAAGGACCTAAAGAGGCTTGTTTAGGGAAGTATAGTCCCCTACCCCTCTCCCCCTTATCTCCCTAAGGGTCCCTACGGTTGGTTAAGTCCCATAGACTACTTCGAGGTTCATGGCTAGTTATAAGTGGGGTTATAAGTCCCCGAATATGGGTTATAAGTATAGTTACCCAACTTTTAACCCTACTTATAGCTACCCTTGAACCTCCAAGTAGGCCCTAAACCCTATTCCTTTTTGCAGAATCCCTATAGGTCCCTTTAAAGGGACCCTTAAAGGAGCCCTACTTAGTATGACTCAGGAAGTTGTACGGATTGCTGTTGCATTCTGATCTTCGCTGCAGCGCTCCGCCCTCGGTTCGGAATGCTCTTGCGGAGACATTGGGAGCTTCCGAAAATAGGGGACCCTAATAATATATAGTATCCGAAATTGTAGGATCCTTATTACAAGGAGCCCAAAAATGAGGTATCCCAAGTTTCGGAAACCCCCACCATGGTCGAAGGGGTGAGAGCTGGTCAGCATGAGCTGCCTTCAGGTTGGCTGGGTTGGGCGCCTGCATCTATATCGCATACGAAAAGGGTGACATCACGCGTAGGGCCCTCGAAGGAACATGCTGCACGGCGTTTTTGCTCTGCTTTAAACCCTGTACGCCCTAGACCCTACACTTCAGGGCTGGAGTCCTTGCCGGACTACCAGGGAACCCAGTGTGTGGGGTCGGCGCCCTGGTAGAAGTCTCCGACGGAAGCCTTGTATCATTGACGTCCTGGCACCGTCGAGGAAGTTCATCTTCTTTCCACAAGATGACGGCGGATTGAACTTGCATAAACAAGTCTGCCTGGGACTTGGTTCGGACGGAAAGCAGCAGCTCGGCCCTCTTGCTTCCGTCGAGGTGTGGATGCCTGCCCGACGGCCAACGAGCCGGTGACGACGATCCTGAAGCCGTTCGAAACAGTGGCTCATCTCGACGGGGAGTTGATGCCACCCTTGTTCTACAACACGTGAACATGAGTGTTTCCGAAAATTAGGGGGTACCTCATTTGGGGCTCCTTCTTACAAGGATCCTACTATTTGGGGTACCATATAAGGGTCCCCTATTTTCGGAAACTCCCCCATGGTAAAATCCTTGAAACCTCAAAGTCCCTCTGCCCGAGCTTCGAGGCGAGGAGGCTTCAAGGTGGCCTCGTAAGCGCCACCCAGGCAGGGAGCTGCCTTACCTTTGGTTAGGGGATCTATAAGGGTTACCATAAGGGATCTACAAGGGTACTATAATATAGAGGGCTTAATAATCCTATAACCTTACCTTTGGTTAGTAGGGAATGGAGGAATGGGGTAAAATTATAACTACTATTACTACCATTCTTCCATTCCCTACTAACCAAAGGTAAGTAACTCCGGGACTCCGGGACCTCAGAGCTCAGCTGGGTTCTTGGTTAAGGAATTTGATCTAGGTTACCAGAATTCGGGACTTACAGTAAACAATATGGTTCCCTTATTGCGGTGCCTTTGACTAAATCCTGGACTTATAGTAGATAATATGGTTCCCTTGTTCCGATAACTCGGACTAAACCCCCTAACAAGAGCCCACCCGGGGGAGGAGGGAGCTCGGCCTTAATGCCCATAATAAGGGGACCTAACAGAGGCTATATAGTGGGTATATAATGGCTATATTATGGGTATATACCTAGGGGTCCTTATTTATTAGGGGTCCCCCTACCCCAGGGGCCCAGAAGAAGCTCGCAGCCAGGGAGCCGGCATCGCCGAGACCGACAGCCTCCTCTTTGGATCAAACCCATCGCCCCAGGCCTCTGCAGTTTAGGGTTTAGGGGTTTAGGGGTTTAGGGTTTAGAGTTTAGGGTTTAGAGGTTTAGGGTTTAGGGTCTCTGCAGTTCTGCGAAGTCGGAAGAACCGAAGATCCGCACTTTTCGGCGCGATCAGGTCCTGACGACAACTGTGGGGGTCGGCGGAGGGATGGAGCCGACACCGGAGCCGGCAACACCCGCTGCGCCGGCTGCGCCAATGTTCCAGGAAACCACCGTAGCAGTGAGCTCAGAGACTCGAGGGGGGATGTGCGAGAGCACATGGCCCCGGGTGCCCTGGGCTGCAGGTCACGACCATGGCCCCTGGGCAGGTGGCGAAAATCTGTGCAGATCCACCAGTGGAGTCGGCTGTCCTGGCAGGTACGGCTCCAGGGATATCCCTCCGTGCCCGTTGCGAACGTCTTGTGCTTTCCGAAGGTCGGTCTTGGCCCCGGAATGGCCTGGGCTTGGGCTTGGGCTTGGCTATCGGCCTGTCGCAAGCGAGCGAGACGTTTGTCTGTGCTAAGGTGAGTTCCAGGGACAAGTCATGGGCATCGCAGGCGGCAGCTCCAATTCTCAGGGTGCAGGCCCATATAATGCGAGTCAGGAAGCAACGAGTTCTTCGAGATAGCTCTGGACATCAACAGTCTTACGTCGTGGGATGCCTAGTTGACCCATCTGCATTTAACTTTCCGAAGAGAGAAAGATATCGGTTAGGTGGATAGATGTAGCAGAACTTCCAAGTACCTGCAGACAACGATGAGCGTCCAAGGAACGCTGAAGTGCTGTGGATGGCCGTCGCACTGCTTTGGCCTGAATTGAATCACAGCCTAAAGCTCATCCTTTGGTTATGCTTGATTCTTCAGGGCGGTCATCATGGCTTTCATCTTCCTCTGCCTGGCTGCTTGACTCAAAGGTCAGCGTTATTTTGAGATATCACGAATCTCCTGCAATTCCAGGTTGAATACCTTGGTCTGTTCTTGATGCGGCTGTCTGTAGCTTTCGTGCCAGAGACTCGGTCGGATGGGTCGCTATGGAGCACTTGTCGCAAGACGACACACCTCCACATTCCTCCCGCGTTTCAGGGTCACGGCTCCGGCAGCCATTGGCGTCTATTTCCTTGCCTTGCCCAGAGCCAAGCATGGTGAAGTGTCATGGGTCCGACAAGACAGCAGATTCGCCTCCAAGGTGGTATCAAGATGAGACTTCGCCTATTGCGTCACAGAGCCTCTCCGACAATGGATCCCGCATGGGCTTGCTCAGAGATGTCTCAGCTGTTTAAGCACATGCATGGCCAAGGATCGCAACGATGAGTCAAGGCTACATCTCTGATGCCGGATGCCAAGACACAGCATGAATCCATAGCATTCTCAGGATTTCTCAGGTATGCTTTTGCAACTTCTGCAGCTACTTGCTTTCGTTAACGATTGAGCGGTAGCTTTCGACAGCTGTGAGTCAGGACCAGGGACTTCTGGTTGCTGGGACTTTCGGCCTGGGTGTGTGTGGAGCCCAGACGCCTCTGCACAGGGATTGTATACGTATGTGGACAGCATGTAGACATCGGTAAGTCGGTAAGTAGACTGCTTCACTGCCACCGCCACTACCACTACCACTGTCTAGTCACTACCTACCCCCTACCACTACCACTTCCGCTCCCGCTACCACTACTGCAGCTACGAGTACTGCTGCTCCATGACCAACAACGCAAGCAACAAGATTGTGATCAAAACACTGCGAAAGATTCTTGTCTTAACACCACCAACATCTCGGTAGCCCTTAGACTGGCGCTTCACAGACACAGTAACAGGCTTCAGAACGTTTCGGGCCTGCTCTGAGGTCGATCATCTTCGGCCTTCTGGCGTGCTTTCAGTACTCCTCGCTCATGAAGGCCTGAACTTGCTGTAGGACGAGCACGGACATAGCGTGAGTGTGCCAACTTCTTCTTCGATTTTTCTTCTTAGTTTTAGTTTAAGTCTTCTGGCTGTGCTGCTTCTGCTGTTGTGGTTGTTGTTCTTGTTGCTGCTGCTGCTGCTGCTGCTTCCACCACCACCACCACCACCACCACCACCACCACCACCACCACCACCACCACCACCACCACCACCACCACCACCACCAAAGCGTCTGGGCCCAAGAGAGTTACGAGTGCCCTGGGACTTTTTTTGGTTGTGTGTGTTCCCTCTCTCCCCCCCCTCTTTCCCTCTAGGTTCAGGGTTGACCGATTGAACGCCATATCTCCCCGCGCCTCTGACTTGCACTGAGCATTACGGCGTGTACTCCTGGTTACACTCTGCATGCCTATATGGCTTCTTCTACGACTTATTCTGGCATTGCTGACCGTTCACGCACCACGGCGCAGCTCTGGTTGGATAGGGGAATCGCAGACAGGCCTACAGGACAACTGCAGGGACTTACACTGGGATACAAAGGCATGCGACCACCGACTCAGTTCACTACGACTCCCTCGAGATCCTCACACCAGGGGGAGACCCAGGCGGACGCAAAAGCCCACGCCAGGCGGTTGGTATCGGAACATTCTCGGCGACCTACCTCGGACACTACATCCGGATGCTCCTTGGACCTTAATTCCATGGATTAGTCTGTGCACTCCGGTACCGGCTGGTAGGTATACCTCCGCCGGTGGCTGTGCCCCATCCGAGAACATCACCACCTCACCTCCTAGGCTTCAGTCAACACGTGCATTTCGGTTAGCCTGCCATGGTTGCCTCCGTCCATGCCATCAGCCTGCCGTGTGCGCCACCACCCCCCCGGTTCGGTTTAGCCTCGCCCCATCTAGGGTACACTGCCCTGAATCTAGACCCTATCCGCAGGTACTGTTTGCCCCTTGCCGCCCGCCGACTTGCATCGCCGCGGCTGATGCAGGAGCAATCTACCGCCGTCAGTGCACTTTGCATGCCTGTCTCAGCCAACAATGTCAGGATATCATGCTTAGCGTCACAGCAACCGATGTCATGCCGGACATTCGGGCTCTGAGTGGGGCTTGCATCGGGTCAGGTTTTTCGAACTTCGCCCAACCCTTGATAACTTGGCCCCTCGGTCGCTGTCACCTCCAACACGGTAGGGTCCCGACTCAGCTCGATCACACTAAGCAGGCACAATCCTTCAGGGTCTTAGCGGACTGTTGGCGCTCCACCATGGCCAGAGGTCGACCGAGAGGGCGCAGAGGTCAGCGCCACAGAAGGCCGCGAGACGGCGAGCGCGAGGCAGCTCGACCGCCAAGGCATGTGCGTCAAGCACGACGGAGATCAGAGCTGGAGGCAGTGGGCTCCGAGAACATCCAGGTATACTCGATAGATGACAGTACTAGCTCGGAATCCCTGGCTATGGAGTCTCCACACGAGGATGCCAGCGCTGGAGCTTCAACACGCCCCATCACACTCTACAATACAGCCTCACGCACAGACTCCACGGACCGGCGAGTATTGCAGAGAGAGATGGCTCCGGACGCTTTTATGGCTTTGGCATCACAGTTGGGACGTTCCTATGCAAGGGCGCGGGCTGATGGTCGCTTCGGGTCTAGCTCTTCATCGGATGTACGGTCCGGGGGTACGAGAAGTGTATTGGAACTTGAGTATTCGCGAGCCGTGGGCGCAACGCCGGGCACAGACCTCACGCCTGATCAGCTTGCAGAGGTCGAAGCGTTGGACATGGATCCTCCTTTTTCTGAGCATCTGAGCTTTTCTGAGCATCGAAGCTGGCCGGCCGGCTCTCCCCCGTCCTTGCAGCAGGAGCAAACCGCATTTTATGGCTCGCGGGACACCTCAGGCGCAGATCGCCCTCGACCTAAGAAACGCCCTAGGATGGATGGCCCCCGACTCGACTCCCCGGCATTGGAGCCTCGGAGGATCGACGTCCCGCCTCTTGTGACCGCTTCCGAGAGCCAGGCCATCGACGCGATCACCACCGAGGTACCGCCGACGTGGGACCCAGACCTGGATGACACATCCGTGGTGGTCGTCGATGCAGACGTACCCGACACCCCAGCGGTCCCCGATGTGGTGGTATCGACTGAGGCTGCCCCCAGAACTCCGCCCTTCGCGGAGGTGCCTGTTATATTCCGGGTGGCGTTACTGGAAACATACGAGGCACGTCTCGCTGAGGGCGAAGCTATGATCGAGGCGGGCACGCCACCACAAGCCTTCGCATGGTCTCCGATGCTCCAAACTGTGCGGGGGCGTGTACAGGAGTGCGAGCGAGAGAGGAAGCGCTCGATGGCATATATGCAGTGGTGCACAGGGATTGGGATTGGGATCGGGATTGACTCACAGGTTTTGCCCGTCGGGCTCAGCTGGTGCCTTAAGTCCCGCCACCCTAGATTCCGTTGCATGGGGTTGAACCTCCCGCATGGCCCCTGCATGCAGCCTTCTGATTTGCAATCGCGTCAAGCGTCGCACATTGGAGTGCCTCAGGAGCTGCCTGCCGCGCCAGGCGACTGCCAGGCCGTCGCCGATTTCCAAGCAGCAAGTTTCCCCTTAGTCCTCTGGATTCCTTGCACTTTGGGATTTGGATCTACTAACGCCCGTTCCGAACGTTATGCCACAGGCGCTGCCGCAAGCAACCGATCAAGGCTTGAATCTCAGCTGCGCACATGCCCATACATCCCCACGCTCCTTAAATGTGGTAGCTTCCTGCACCACCCTTGGGTGCGCTCTCCCTGGAGAGGATGGGGCGCACTTCTGCGCCGTAGGAGATATAGGACCCACCTCACCCGACGCAGTCTAAGTTGCACTAGACTTTTCGGTAGTGGTCTGCCTGCTAGCCTATATTGCACATATTGCACTGCCTCTCGCCTGTGTATGACCACACTGCGCAACTGGGGAAGTTCCTTCTCACTCTCAGGCCGATGGCTGCAGCATGTTCGAGGATGGCTCCCACGACCCTGGATAGTGCCGGCCACCCCAGTGCATTCGTTCGAGTGTGATATGGTTTGCCCTGAATTGGCAACTAGGGGATCTCACACCCCCCCCAACCCATGCCCCGATCATTCCCCACGACCCCCCGTATACACACACAGCCCGCTGACGGCAGCGAGCCGTCGTCCCGCCCAATGGTCGGGCTCTCCCGGTCCCAAGTCCGGGAGATGTAGAGACCCATCCTTTTGCAGATCACTAGCTCGTGTAGGGCTGTACTTCTTACATGTACACGCAGCTGGAGCGGTCTCTACATCAGACGCGAGGGTTCCACTGGCTTCCCAGGTCAGTGGGGGAGCGGACACGTCTCCTGCAGCTTCAGGCCATGCACCCGCGAAGCCTCTGGGAACACAGGTTGCGATTTGCAGGTCGCCACTTCCGTCCTTGCAGAAGCAGAGAATCGTTAAGCGTTCGCTACAGAGAGTTCACCGACGCATCATACGAACAGGTGGAGCTTGGTACAAAGGCCGCTGGTACGACACTGGGTCGGCCAGGGCCCTGGCACAGACTACACCAGCCTCGGGGTCTCCTGACCCACCCACCGCTCACTCACACCGCCCCACCACAGCTCGGTCCAGCATGCCCCCCGTGCAGGAAGAAGATCCCCGGCCTAAACACCAACACCTGAAGGTCCTGACGTGGAATGTGGGCGGATTGGGGGGAGGGTTCTATGACGAATTACTAGTTCACATTCACCACAACCCCATCGACGTCATGTTTCTTCAGGAAACGAAGTGG